CCCTTACAAAAGTATTGTTCACATTGTCTGTGATCCCCAAGAATATGTAAAAAACTATTTGTTATATCTTTTCGTAAACCTGGTAGAAATAAATAAATGTAAAATATTAATTAAAAAAGCGGGTAAGTGGATGTCGCTCTGCTGCACAGTAGGTTACTACATAGTGGGTCGCTATAATGGATGGTGTTACATTTGAATTCAATGATATATCATTGTATATACGAAAAACGATTCTGAGCGGAGACGGTTTGTCGGTCTAGCATATTTTATAAATTTATAACTAAAAATCAATTTGCAGACATTCGAGATTTTGTCGTCCAAATTTTAACTTAAAATGTCTACGAACAATTATAATTGAATTATTAAACTGAAAATTTTTAAATTTTGTTGGTGTATACAAAATGGTTATCTTAACAATTGGAGAAATTTTCAAATGTCTGCGATTATTTATTTTTGAATTACATAAAAATAAGAAATTCGTGTACGGAAAAAACGAGGGAACACCCAATGTCTAATTTCAAACGCTCATGAAAATTTAATTTGACTTTCGGTATTTTTTTTTCTTTAGAAAGGTAGGAAAACTTATGGAGAATCTCTTGTCAAATTTTCAAATCTTAGACACTATTCAAAAAAATTTTATGAATTTCTAAATAAAAAAAACTGTGAAATTTCGTGATTTTTACGTATTTTTTCAAATTTCTAACTTTAGACGCTAATAAAAAAACAATCAAATTATTACACTCAACTTTTTTTTTGATTTTCAACTAAAACAAGAAACCCGAAAATTTATTATGCTTATAAATAGCTCAAAAATTGTCAAAGTATTTTGAAAATTTGGGGGTGTCAATGAGATTGCATATATAAACGTTTGGTGAAAATTGCATGTCTTTATGCATTATTTTTTTTGTTTATTTTACTCCCTCAAAACGTAGTGATGACAGACAAAAAAAAAACACATCATTGTAAAATCAATACATTCATCGCTCCGCTCAGAATCTAAAATTATTGTACTCGAAAAATACGTAGGTACCAACCAACCAAAAACCTAATAGAATATGTTAAAATTACAAACCAAATATTTTTTGAGCTTCTGTTTGATTTTCCAATTTATTTCGATACTCAATTGCTTTAGTAATAGAACATCTAAATCGTAATTGGTTTCTTTTTATATGGTGCCTCAGCTCAATGGGGTAATTAGTATTTTTTATCATTGCAGGTAATTTGGTTCCGTGTGTCATTTGAAAACAAATGATTTCGACATTCAATTTTCTGTACTAATAAATTTGGTCCATATTAATTCTCGTAACCGTTTGGTGACACTAGAATCACCATCGCCTAAAACCCAATAATTATCATTAGAATTTGAAATATTTTTATACAATTCATGTTGTAATTTATAATTACAGTATTTTGAATATTGTTTTTTTTATATATTTATTTAATGTTTAGTTTAAATACATATTTACCAATTAATTTGTTGAATTTAAGACCATGTATTTCTACACTTCGTCTGAAACCTTCAGCTATTGCGTCAGCTTCCATACTAGTTGCTCCTTTGGTCCAATTTAAGAAACATGTATGTTTAGGTACAGTTGTGTTTGTATTAGCAGGTCTTTGACATACAACACAATAACGATTTCGTATGCCAATAAACAAAATTTTTTTAGATTTGTAGCCTATTATAGTAGCCTAAAAACAAACATTAATCTATCAAAACAAAATTGATTTTTGTTTTATTTAAGCTATTATTCACTTACAACTCCAGACAATGCATCATATTTTGTTTTATATGATCGTTTTGACCATTGTCCGTTAGCGACCACCGTCATCATCAACACAGTTTGTTTCAAGAGCATATTTCCTTTCCTCCTCTCCTGCGAGTTTCATCTCTTGTAATGCAGCATTGTGTATTGTATCACCCATTTTGGAGAGAACTAAGCTGTATGTGGTGTTTGACATACAAGGAATATCTATTGATGCTGATAATTCCGATAGCTGTGTATATCCAATACCAGCTGCAACTCTACCACTAACAATTGCTTCATTTATTGGAATGCATGAAGGAGAAACCTTTTCTTCCGAATAAACAATTAATTGACAGTTACACATATCACATAAAAACTTGAACAAAGACCTAAAACCATTTTGCTTTTCGGCTACGAATTGCATGTCTAAAAAAGTACAACCAAAACCACCTATGTGTCGACTTTTTTTAATTTGCTTGAATATAAACATGATATCAACAATGCGTCTACCAAATCCTGTTTTAAAATATTCCTGAATATCAAAAATAATTTTAAAAAAATCAATTATTATTTATTGCTTTTACATGGGAATTTAAGACTCACTCTTCACCATGATTTTCTTTAGCGATCTTGTAAGAATCGACCTCATTAATCTCATCTACACCACTTATTTCCAAACTATTTTGATTATACTGAGGTGTTATAGTATGTTCGATATTAAGGCAGCTATATATTACATGTTTAAAAACAAATTTTTTTAAAATACCTAAATTATATTTAAAATGAACCAATATTAATTTTATTTGAAAATTTAAAACTTACTGTCCACTATGATTTTCTTCAGTAGTCTCGTAAGAATCACCATCATCAATCTCATGTACACCATTAATGTCTAAACTATTTTCATCATGTTGAGGTGCAATAGTATTTTCAATATTGGGGTAACTATATAATATATTATATACATTTAATAATAAACTTTGAAAATACATTGTGTTTTATATACATTTATATAAACGTGTTGCCTGTATAGGGTGTCGAGTGACTCAGTTACACAGCATATTTTAACATACAAAGTACGTGGCACTAGTGCCCTCCTGCAGTTATAATTTAATGCAGAGGCAAACCGCTTGATCACTTCACCGTACCACCTAAAAGTTTGTGGTGGGTGTCATTTTAATAGGTGGTACTTGGTCTTGGTAACTAGTAAGTAGTAGGTAATGTGAAAATGTTAATAATAATTATAATATTTTGACAAATTATTTAACTACAATACGATTTGCAAATGTTCAATGATGAATTTCAAACCAAAATTTCAACGCTAATAATAAAAAATTGTATTCAATAACTTTAGATTTTTTTTTAATTGTAATAAGTACAATTTATAAGAAACCTTGTATTAATATTTCAGGATTTAATCTGTTACATCAACATTTCTAGAAAAAAAAAAAACAACGCATACTTATTAGTAGGTATTCTAAGCTGAGCGGAGCGATGAAGTGTATTGATTTTACAATGATGTGTGTTTTTTTTTTGTGTGTCTGTCATCAGTCATCACGTTTCGGGGCAGTAAAAAGGCTCCGATTTTCTCGACCGGCAACTTTTCTGACAGGAAAGTGAATCAAGTTGGTACTTTGAAGGGGTCAAAAATAAAAAATTTTCAATACTTTTTAAACGCAGCGTGAAAAACAAACAAAAAATTAAGGAAAAACCGGAAATTTTTACGCAACGCCCTTTTTTGGAAAAATGGATTTTTTTTTTGGTGTAACACACAAAATAATAACCGTAGGTACATGAAATTTTCATAAAATGTTTATATTTGCAACTTCAATACACCATCAAATTTTCAAAATATTTCAACTTTTTTTGAGCTATTTATAGGTATAATACATTTTCGGTTTTTTTAATATTTTTTTGCAAACGTCGATAAAAATTTTTTCCCTTTTTACGACTTTGTTTACCTATTATACAACTGCTGCACATGAATTCGTCGTCCTTGGCCGAACATACTATTTCGTGTTTCGCCAAACAACTTTTTACGTACTGTAAATTCTGATGTGCCATGCGCTCGTGCCAAACAGACAACCTGTTTTCGACGGCTACAGTCGCGTACCCGTTTGTCGGTAATTCGACCTTGATGTTTAACTCAAACAACCTTCCGCATCTCTTACCTGAGCATACGGGTTTTCCCTGTTTAGTTAACATACACGTCTTACTATCTGACGTCATTACTAAATCTTTATCCATCGCGGCTCCGCACGAAAATAAATTAAATTTTAGTCCTGGCACGTGCAACACGTTTGCCATGTAATTTTTATTCCAATTACCGTTTACGTATGATAATATATTAATATTACCTCTACCTGCTGCATACAGATTTGTCCCATCACCTATCGTGATTTGTTGCGTGTTGTCCAGTGGTTCATAACTTGAAAACCACTCTCGATTTGCCGACGCGCCCGAGTCTAGTACCCACGCATCTGTTGCAATATTATTTATTCTTGACTCGCTTACGAATGCGTTCAAGTTCGCACCTATAGTACCGGTTTTACCACCGTGTACACTTTGTAGAAAATTTCTACAGTCTCTTTTATAATGACCTAGTTTACCACAGTAATAACACTTAATATTACTTTTATTAGTTAATTGATTTTTACCTTTTCCATAATTACGACTGCCGTTTCTTCCATCAGATCTGTTTTGAAATTTGGCCGGAAATGCACTCGATTTTTCTTGTTCACCAACTTCACCTTTGATCTGGATAACCCGTGATTCTTCAATCAACAATCGACTAGTCAAATTATTTATATTTTTACTTCCCGTTGGGACTGAATCCCAAGCACTGTAAAAATGATTATATTCTTTTGGTAATGTCATTAGTATTTTTGTCATAACCATGTTATCCGTAACTGGTTCACCCGCTACTCTCAGTTTCCTTCCTAAATTGACCAATTTAGAAATATGCGTCGACATGTCATCTGTCGACTCCTTTGAATAACTGAAAAATTGTTGTTAAAGCAAATGTAAACTTGCCTCAGACTTCTGCTCGTAAATACTCAGCAGTTTCTCCCACATTTCCAATGCAGTCTCGCAGTTAATCAAATATTGTAATGGACCATCGTCCACTGAGGTAACTATTATTTTCTGACATTTACCGTCTGCTTTTATCCAAGCGCTAGTATGCCTTTGCCAACGTGCTTTGGCTTCCTCGTCGGTCTCTGCTGCTGACTTTTTTATAGGTAGACTTGGTTTCGTCCATTCACCTGAAACTATCTAACCTACTTCCAAGGTATTTAGAATGACCTTCATCTGGAACTTCCATAACGACCAGTTTTCCGCACATAATTTTGTTATCTTCACCGTGTCTTCCATGACCGATGGTTTCCCGTATACTTTCCTGTATAACAATTTATAACAAAACTTTACCTATGTACACTGTTCCGTCGTTTTCCGAAATCCAGGATATCTCCGACTGGTTGTAGTTTTCTGCGTTAATACAAATATAAAAATACTTCGATCACGAATCCACTAGACTGTTTGTCTTGGTTATTGACTGGGCCCATAACCTGTTGAAAGTGAAGCTTGACGGACTAATGATGTTAGCATTAATATAATAAGTAATAACACGACAATATGATTATGTATAAGTATAATATATAATAACGTACAACTGGACAATTAAACTGTGACGACGCCTGTGCAAGTGAATATTACATACATCAAAGGCCCTATATATATGCACGACCGAGGTCATGTTACATCCGTAAAGAGAGTGAGTCATATGCTCGTACATAACTAGTTACTATTTTGTACACACGTGTCAAGGCTGACTACATATACTACATATTAATTGTATATTTCAACAATATAATATATATATATATCATATTATATCTAATTTTAGTATTTGATATTTATAAATAGTGGCTTTATTTTTCAATAATTGTTGGAATTTTATTTCTTATATTTGTTTCGGGTATTTAAAAACAATGCAACTGTGTTAGGCAGCTATTAGCGCTAAGCAGAGAGCGTGCGCCGACATAATTTATGTCAAGTCATGGTAACATTCAGTACGACAGTCGGTGGAATAATAATATATCTCTCCCGAAACTACGGAGCGCGGACCCAGCCACGAATATAATGGGAGTGACTGCAGCCTGCCGCGACGGCGGCGAGACGGCACACAACGACATCTCTTGAGCGTTGTATGTGTTTCACTTTTACTGTAGGGTCCTCTTAAGGTGGCTGGAGCTTGATATGTTTTAAGGAGTAATATTTTGGCATTTCATATTGTTCAGTCAAGAGGCTCCTACAATATTGGTGGTCGGCCCCACTGACTACACCAACGTATTGGACACTTGTAAATACAACCTATTGTTATGCGACCACACTAATTATACGCACATTTTGGAGAAGTATGGCAAAGCACATACCGGAATTATTTATTTTCTATTAAATACAGATATTATAAACATATTGTATTAACTGGTAAAGACGTCTCCTTAACCAGCCATAAGAAATAAGAATACACAACAGAAATTAATGACAATAAACTCAATAAAGGTAATAACTAATAACGGTGTTATCAATACACCCGATGCCTGACGACAATAATAATAATAATAATAATGATAATACAACGATAATGATTACGCGACTCCGACGACCAGCTGGGCTCGGTGAAGAAACGACGTTGACAATTCGGCTTTATGGTGTACTTTGGAGCAGTTGACGGCGACAATAGGTCTACCAACGATACGACGACCGACGAACAGTGATCCACAGGTCACGAATACACCGACACGCGGGTTTTACTCGTCCACACTACGACTACCAACACACGTACCGTGACGAGGCGCACCGCGTCAATCGAAACAGCGGAAATACGGCCTACCACGAATCCAGAAAACAACATTTACAAGAGTCGTACACAAGGGACAGGGCCGTCGCATAAAAGCCGATACCGAAGCAAACGGAACGCAAGACGATGACGACAATGACGAAAGGAGCAACGACGGGCCGTAATCCGGCAAAGGTCGTGCGTCCAACTAACTAGCTCAAGCAGTTACGGGGTCTACGGCAGACGTGCGTTATCGGCGATAGCATACTAGACGGACGGAGGGAACGGCACGACCGGTTCATAGAAGCTTTGGATGGACGTCGACTACGGCGCTCGAACATCCTCCCCCAATGAAAAGCCCTGGTTTTCATGAGACATGGTGGACGCTGGAACATTGAAGATTGAGGACCAGCAATGGTCGTGGAGCCTGACATTGGTACGGAACAAAACAATAAAAAAAATAATACAATATCTCATAAGTTTGAGATTATAAATAATATAAGTGATGACATCTTTAACAAAACATAATAAGTAGTAACATAAATAAAATTCAAAAATTTAACAATTAACTTGGTTTGCCAGGG